TCTCTCTCTCTCTCTCTCTCTCTCTCTCTCTCTGTGTGTGTGTGTGTGTGTGTGTGTGTGTATCACTCTCTCTCCCTCTCTCCTCCCCATTTTAATTTGCCTACCTTTGTTTAAATTAGGGTGAATCAAAGTATTTCTTTCACCCTTAATATGATGTATTTCTCAGGCCCTTTCTTGGATGCAACTTTCCTAATTTTAATAAAGAAAAGATAATAAGTCTGGTTGAAAGTAAATTATGATTTGTTATTTAAAAATGCTTCTGTCTATTTGTAACTTACTTTCTAGTTGCATTCAGCACTCCACATTGCGCTGTCCAATTCTTTTTGGTGGTGGTGTTTTTAGAATTAATATAAATAAATAATCTTTGCCTGGGTTTCGCAGAGGACAGAGCTGAAAACAATGGCTTACGTTCACATGCTTTCTTTGAGTGTGTGATCCAGAGAGCATGAGCAAGAGACAATGGAGGTGAGGCAGAAACGAAGGAGGTCCCTCATACCTGATCGTGCATCAGGTTTCTGGGGCTGTTAACTGCACAGGAGATTGGTCATCTTTCTTCTGTAGAGCCACTGGTGGATTTGAACAGCCAGAGAGGCATTGTTTGTGGGTTGGTAGGGAAGCTCCTTACAGACTAGACCACCAGAGCTCCGAAGAGAAGAGGGAAGGAAGAGCCTATGAAAAGATTGAGGTGGCCACCCTGATTGGCATCTGGTTGCTCAATCCTGTAAGGCCCCCCAAGAGGACCATAACAAAGAGGGCCTCAGGCTCCACCTGATAGAGCCAGAGAAGATCAATAATCCCAAAGAAATGAGGAACTGCAATGATGGCTGAACTGCAATGCCTTGTGTTAATATAAATTGGTTAGAAGTGGTGGATTTAAATCCAGCTATCTGCCTTCACATCAAACACACAGAAGCAGTGTCCCCAATTTCATCCTGCACAGAGACACACATCCCAATTTTTTTAAAAAAAATTATATTCTGGTGACAGTGTTTCCATTTCTCAGTTGGCAATAAGAGAATAACACTTGATTCAAACCAGTGAAGTGTGACCCAGATCTCAGTATAAATATAGTGGAAGTCATGAGTTTCTTTAGTGATAGTCTCACTAATTAAGTTGTTTGGCCTGTTTTTAGCCACATTGGATTTTTTTTTTCTTTTTAAGTTTGTTAGTAATGTTGTTTGTGGCGGCACCAATGAACCAGGAACTCACATCGTTACTCAATCACCCAGATTACTCATCACTGCCTGTTCATAACAGAATTCTAAAATGTTTCAGATCTCTGATGCAAATCAAAATCTTCTAATCACTTGTCATTGCTAAATTAAATGACAGGATAATAACATTACATTAAAACCATTTTTCTCTTGATTGAGTACCTTTCTCAGAAGTGAACCTTCAAGATGTATATTTTTTTTCCATCTACTATAAATGCATTTCGAATCCAAGATAAAAATAGGCTTGAAAAGAGGAGGTGTGGGGTGTTTTCAAATCATTGATGAGTCTCTTTTGAATCCAAAATAACCATAGTTGACAGGGAATGGAGTAGTTTAGCCTAATTTATTACCACTTTCAGAACTCATAAGAGAGGTTCGCGGGTTGAGCTTGGTCCTTATTCACACAATCAAGTGCTCTCGGCATCAGTTATAGTGATACCATTGCAAACAAGTAGTGCCCTGCAGGAAATAGCTGTGTTCTGTTACTCTAATATATTGGTTTTGCATAGATCCCAGATGATGTGGGTTTGTTGTGAGCTATCAAGTTGCAACTAACTCATAGGTGACCCTCCAGTAGACAGTCAGTTGCATGGGAGGAGATTGCCCATCTCTCTTCCATGGAGCAATTGGTAGATTTGAACCATGTGTATTTAGGTTATTGGTACCACAGCTCCTTACCCACTAGGCCACCAGAGCTCTTTGTGGGTTGCTAATATAAATTTATAATCTGCTAAAATAGCTTTGTTGAAGCAGAGTGAGCTCTCGGCTGAGTTACTGTGATGAACCTTAGCTCATCGCCTACCTTTTCAAGAGCTATTGAGCCCCAGGTGGCCACACTTGTCCTCTGTCCACCCGCTCCACTGGGCCCTCCTCCCACCTCCTGTGTCTAGCCAGCTGGTCTTTGGCTGGCCTTTTCCACTTGCCCTATGCCGAGAACCCCTCTTCATTGGAAGGTCATTCTTACCCCCGAAGACGTGGTTTCTTCACAACTTCTACCTTCAATGTTACAATATCATCCCAGAAATGTACTGTTTACCCTTCTTTTTTTGCCACATTTAATACTAACATCAGTGAGTTACAGCATTACGGCAAAAATCTTTAACTCTCTGAGAAGTCAACTAAGTATGGGCTGAAACAAGATTAACCATTAGTTGATAATTACTGAATCTAGGCAATAGGTACTGAAAAGAGGTTAATAGACAATTTCCTCTACTTTTATGCTTGAAACTTTCCATAATGAGAATGAAACTTAGTTATTCAGGATCCATTTTTTTACAACTTATGTTCTGAGTCAGCTCAGGTGATATTGTAGTATACAGGATGGATAGCCGCCGCCCCCGCCCGGGTAGAATATTTAGATGGTTGGATAATCTTAGTCCTGTCCATCCTGAATACAAAAGTACATGAATTAACTCAGAAAGAGCAACTATTTAAAAAAAAAATCTCAATACCCTGGCCCTAACCCACCCTCAGGAGCTCTGATGGCTTAGTGGTAAGGAATTGTGCTGCCAACTCAAAGGTACATAGTTCTAACCCACCAGCTGCCCTTTGGGGGAAAATGGACAGTCTTCTCCTGTGCCGTTTACTGCCACTAAGACCTGCTGAAGGTTCAGCTATGGGCCCCTTCAGACTCAATGACACAAAGCAACTACCCCGCAACAATGAATGAATGGAAATTCGAAGTCTCTGTAAACTTTCATTAAAATTAATAAAAAAAATTTAAAAGAAAAGAAAACAAAAAAAAAAAACCCTAAGTAAGCTCCTTTAGTTCCTGGACTGGCAACTTTCCTCTTCTTCAGTGCCGTGTATGATTACCAGAATCCTTCACACGTCCTGCTGCTCATTAATCAGAGAAACTTGTGTAGAAACACACATCCCATTTATTAGATCTCTCTATAAACAAAACTCTATTGTAGGCATTTGGGAAGGGAGAAGATGAACTTTCTCAGCTCAGGCAAACAGTTAATGTACTCCATTCTGTTCCTGTTAACCAGAGATGCCTCAGAAGCAAAGCATGATGATCTATTTCTCAAAGATCAGCCCTTGACAAGTCATGGAACAATCCTCTAACACATGGGGCTGCCCTGAGTCAGTGTTAACTGGGCAGAAACTGGTTTACCCTCCAAGAGGGGAGACAGAGGCACCATGAAGAACCCTGATTCAGGACAGACACAAGTACTTGTCCTAAGATGGAGAGCTACAACTCAGCCTTACTGTGTGGCCAGGGCAGAGGAGAAAACTATTTGGAAGATACATTATTGGTGATACAAGCTACAAAGGCTTGCCATAAAATTGGAAAACTATCTTCAGAAGACTCAAGCAAGATCCACACCTTACTCCATACACAAAACCCAGCTCTAGTTGGATCATGGACCTAGGACTAAAACCAAGGACTATAAACTTCATTAAAGAAAAACTTGGAAGAACTCTGAAGTCCTAATCCACAACATAAACAGTATTCCAAGCATCCTGAAAAATCTACAACCAGGAGAAGATAAAATAGATGAATGGGACCTTCTAAGAATCAAATCCTTATACACAACCAGAAACTTCTCCAATGGGGTAAAAAGTAAAACCACAAACTGGGGGAAAATATTTGGTAATGACATGTCATATAAGGGACTTATATCTAGAATTTATAAAATACTTGAGTACCACAACAAGAAAAAGGTAAACAAACCAATTGAAAAATCAGCACAGGATATGAACAGACAATTCACCAAAGAAGACATTCAAATAGAAAACAAGCACATGAAGAAATGTTCAAAATCCCTAGCTCTAACAGAGATGCAAATCAAAACAACTATGATATATCATCCCCCAGTATGAGTAGCAAAATTTAACAGAGCAGCAAACAACAAATGCTGGCGAGGTTGCAGAGAAACTGGAACCCTTATTCTCTGTTGGTGGGAATGTAAAATGGTGCAACCATTATGGAAGGCTATATGGTGCTTTCTCAAAAAGTTGCAAATAGAAATACCATTTGACCTAGCATTTCCTCTACTGGGAATATACCCCAAATAAACCATAACTGTCACCCAGGCAGAAATACGCACACCCATGTTTATTGTGGCTTTGTTTGCAATAGCAAAGAGTTGGAAACAATCTAAGTGCCCATCAACAAATGAATGGATAGAGAAGCTGTGGTATATTCACACAGTGAATACTATGCTGCTTTGAAGAACAAGGAACTCATGCAGTATTATTCAAAATGGGTGATTCTGGAGGACATTATGCTGAGTGAAATATCTCAGTCACAAAAGGACAAATACTGCATGGTGCCACTGTTGTAGAATGGGACTGACATCAGGGTTGGGGTGAGACTGAGAAAAATTAGATAAATTATGTTTACTGCATTGAAACAGATGAGGGAGAGAGCAGTTTAAAAGCGATATATGATTGGGTGTTATGGTCATGACAGGAGTCCCGAATGAAGGCTGCATAGTGGAGTGAACAAGGGGTTGGGAGGATTGTATATCAATGAAAGAATTTTCCTTTTACTTTTCAAAGAGAAGAGTGAACTGGGACGGGGAAGCAGGGAGAAAAGTGCAACAATGAATGAATGGAAATCCAAAATCTCTGTAAATGTTCATTAAAATTAATAAAATAATTTTTTAAAAAGCCTTGCCATAAAGGAAAAGCGAATCTTCCCTGTTTCCACTTGAAGCTCTGGGTGCTTATGACTATTTGGAATGCCTGATTCCCCTCCTTCTCTCTTCTAAAGAATTTAAATAAATTCCAGTTACCGATGTACTTCTTTTTTTTTTTTCCTTTTCATTAAAATAGTCTTACTTCTCGTTTGCCAAAAATTGGAGAAACCATCCATGGACATAAGTTTTTTATTGGCTTTGGAGGGAAAGGTGCCAACCAGTGTGTCCAAGCCGCTAGACTCGGAGCAAAGACATCCATGGTGTGCAAGGTAAGCGTCAAGGCTAGTGGGGAGGTTCCGGAGGCAAGAACCTGCCCCAGAGGCTCACATTCCTTGTTTTTATAGGTCTGTATGGCAGAGAGTAATCTCCCTTGCTCCTTTTATTAGTTTCTCCTTCATTGAGTCCTGTGGGAAGTAGCAGTCCTCAAATAGCTTCATGCTGCATTCCCTGAACTTAATGAGTGTATAACTGGAGTGTGAGAAATGGAGAGAATTAGCTTACTCCACTGGGTTCCTGTAGTCCAGCTTCCAAACAACCGCATGAGTCAGCCTGGTTTTATGCAGGTTTCACTAGAGCAACAGACCCAGGTTTTGGAAAACATAGCCTAATAATAGGTGATTTACACATCTCAAAAGTATTTTCTTTCTGCCAGTTTTCAAGTTGGCTTATCATTGAAGCTTAGTGGTTTAACTCCATCCAGAAGCAACTCAGAAGGAAGTAGTGATGTACTTGCAGAAAATGAGCCCTTGAAAGCCCCGTGGAGTACAGCTCCATTCTGACATCCATGGGGCCACTGTGAATCAGAACGGACGCAGCAAAGACTGGCTTACTGCTGAGTCTCAGATCAGAGGGGAATCGGGACCTTAGTGAGCCACATACGAAATGAGGTTAGCATAGTACTGTTTTCAAGTATTGAGGGTATTTTTACACCAATGACAAGCATATGATGCGTTTTTTTGCCAACTGTACCCTCCTACATTTGTGAAAAAAATACCATATGTAAAAAAATTACACAAAATATAGTTGTTAAACTTTTTCATCTTTCATGAAATTCTTACTAGTATCACAAGAATGGAAATATATAAAATGTTGTTATTGTTGATTGCCTTTGAGTGGAGCACAACTCACAGCAACCCTATGAACAGAAGGCCTGCAGCCCCTCTACAACTATTTTATCAAAGTTCATAGAGTTTCCAGAGGCATGTTATTTAGGAAGTGGATGCCACTCTTGCAT